ATCTATCTATCTATCTATCTATCTATCTATCTATCTATCTATCTATCTATCTATCTATCTATCTATCTATCTATCTATCTATCTATCTATCTATCTATCTATCTATCTATCTATCTATCGCATTTATATGCCACCCATCTAGACATAGGTGGATGTTGTTTCGATGATTCAGTAACAGCTTTTTCCATTGCTTTGGTTTGGGAAGTGGCCTTACAGGGAGGTTGGGCCATTTGAACTGGTTGTAAGGATTGTTCCCAAAGTCGGAGTTTTAGTCTTGAAAGGTAGGATCAAAGAACTCCGTGCTTAAAATTTTTGCAGTGGGTACAGGAGGAAGTTAGATGTTCTCCCAAACAGAAAAGTCACTAAGCGTGTCCGCCGGAAAGTGGGATCTTATTATCACAGACAACGCAGTGCTTAAACGGACCCAAAGGGGCCATGAATAGGAGAAAATAATTGAGGAGAAAAACAGATGATTGGAGGGGGAGCTGCGGCCGGATGTCAAGCTAGAGGAAAGAAAAAACTCTGATGATAAAGAGTTTGATCTAATAGTTTAAAAGAAAAAGATTGATAACAGGAAGGAATTGAGAATAAGCTCTCTTTCTCTTTTACTCACAGAAGCAGAAATATGAGGCTCTCAATGCGGCGATTGAAAGAAACTGAAAGGGGACGCTTGGCACCAAGGTACTTATATGGGTGGGTGGGGCATATTCTAATGTGCGCATTGTTACAGCAGAAGCTCTAGAATCTTCCAATAAGGCTCCGCGCAGGCGCGAATCCCCCAGGGTGTGATTCACAGAGGCCACAAAGAAGAACCTGGTTTTCTTTGAGATCTGAATACACATGTGCCATATGAGAGACGGTGCTTTAAAACACAGCAGCTGCCACAGCCAAATTATGGTAAGCAAGCACTTCATTCATACACAACGTCTCTTACACAGATCAGAGGTGGTGATGTCACTGGGTCAGGATTCTCTAACCTAGTGCTCTCCAGATATTCAGAACCCTGCAATGTCCTCAAGCCAAGCCACAGCCCTCCTGACAGAGGATGATGATGCTTGTCTGCTATATCTATCAGGCACATGGCTGGTAAAAGGAAGAGGTGAGACCCCTTACAAGTGATCAGCTGACTCAGGGCAGATGAAAACATGCTAACTTCCTAAACTATAGCTGGTTTAAGAGGCCCCACAAAATTATGCTCTTTTTTAATTTTAAAAATTCTACTTAGAGGCACATCATACACTGTTGCTTAATGAGCTTGAACGTAAATTTGGCCCTGAGTTTATCATGGGGAGGGGTAGAGAGGTATAAAATACTTTCAGAAGCCTAGGGACTGTGGGTAAGACCGCCATCTTGTTTCCTTGATAGAAGCCCAATGGCTTTAACAATTGTACAACAGGCAAAAGTGGGGAACACGGTTTTTAATGGTACAGGGTGCTAAAGGCTAAGAAGCAAAGCAGGGGCGGTGGTGGTGGAGTAAAGCTTTGGCGGCAGCAGAAGGCTATACAAGTGAGCAGGCAAGGCTCAGAGAGTGAAACCTGAGGTATAGAAGCTCTTGGTAGACTTTGCAGGAGAACCTTGCAGTTAGACGTCCGTGTTTGCATAGCACAGGGAACAGAAAACATGGTCAGGCATGTTAGGGGTTCCAGCTCTAACAGAGGCTAGGAGCAGGTCCAGCAAAAGCCAATTCTCCCAGGTGGAAGGTGTGTCATTTAGGCAGCCCCTCTTCTAAACAAGCATGAGAGTGGGGTGTGGCTATTCATACTACTTCTTCACTTTGGCGTCGTAAGTGCCCGCATGCTTGTAAGCAGACACGTAGCCGCTGTCGTCCACAATGTTCTCACGCCCACTCTTGCCCTTGCCTTTCCCCGTCTCATCAAAGCGTTCCTTGTGGGATCCCGTGTACTTGGAGGTATCAGTGAGCCTCTCCACAGCTCCCACCGACTTGGCTTTCTGTCAGTTTAAAAGAAAACACACACACACACACAAGTGAAGGTTCAGAATAGTTTCCATTCAGGACCCAACCTCTGACAATGACTTCCATATCAACTCCATCTTTCTTGCTTCAGTCAGGGAGGGAGGGGCAACTGTGGCCTGACAGATGGTGCTGAAGTACAACTCCCATCATTCCCACCAACAGAGGCGACGGTGAGGGATTGGCAGGGTGTTCAGCAACCCTTGGAAGCTGCTGTTGCCTACCAGTCCGCTTGCAAGAAGTTGCCTTCTGCCAAATCAAACTCCTACTTGGCCCACCTGATCCCCTGCTACCTATTCCGACTGGTTGCTGCTGACCAAGGGCTTTAGGCCAAAGAGCTTGCATGTGATGTGCTCTCTGAAGCTGGAGATGTGAAGTAGTGAATCTGCAGCCTTTTAAATGCAGGGGTGCCCTGACGGTGAGCTGAGACATTCCTTGTCTGAGAAACAAGCTGGGTTATATTTTGCACCGATTTCAGAATTTGTAATTATGTTTTAAATATGCCAAATTGATTTAAATGGTTTAACAATTGTTTTAAAGTTGGTTTCATTGGGTCATAATGAAAGGAACTGAAATAATTCTATACACACACACACACACACACACATATATGTATATGTGTATATATATATATATATATAGGACCACCACTACCCAAGCCCAGTCTTCTAGTCCTTCAGAATCCTCCATAAACCCATGGTGGACCACATGCCCTTTTTGGTTCTTCAGCAGCACCTCAACACAACTCTCCCTTCTTTGGAGGCTTCTAATTCTCTCTGGGTCTCATTCTACCATCAAACACACACACCCCTCAAGGTCCTTCTTCCTTTCCCCAGCAGCCGCAGCATCTACTCACAGTAACTCCCACGTTGGCTGGTTCTTGCCCTGCCACCAGCTTGCAGATGGCCTCATATGCCTCCTCGTTGCTTTTGTCCTTAAACCTCTTTGGGGCCAGTTCTTCCATGGCTCTCTTGAACTCCTCATAATTGATGACTCTGGCTGACTTCCCTCTGGAATGGAGTGGGCACAAAGAGTCAGAGCTGGATGGGCACCTGATAGAGGGGCAAAAGCTACTTTCACCCATAATAAACACATCAGGGCTATAAAAAGAAATACAGAAATAAATAAAGAGAAGGGGAAGGGTGGGAACAGCAAATGAAACATGTTGAATAAGGAGATGACCAGAAAAGACAACTGGATGGCGTGCATCACAAACTGATGGCAGAGAAATCTGTGCATTTTGGAGTGAAGCGACTGTTCACAAGAATGATCAGGGGGCTGGAAACCAAGCCTTAGGAGGAAAGACTGAAAGAATTGGGCATGTTTAGCCTGGAGAAAAGAAGGCTGATGGGTGATATGATAGCACTTTTCAAATATCTGAAAGGCTGTCATATAGAGGAGGGGCAAGATCTGTTCTCAATCATCCCAGAGTGCAGGACACGCAACGATGGGCTCAAGTTAAAGGAAGCCAGATTTATGTGGAATATCGGGAAAAACTGCCTGTTAGAGCAGTACGACAGTGGAATCAGTTACCTTGGGAGTTGATAAGTGCTCCAACACTGGAGGCATTCAAGAAAAACTTAGATAATCACCTGGCAGATATGCTTTGATTGTATTCCTGCGTTGGGGGCAGGGGGTTGGACTTTCATGGCTCTGTAGGCCCTTCCATCTTCACTTTTCTATGATTCAATGATAATTTTCCTTATACATCCCAGATTGTTCCCATATATAATTCCCACTTTCAACAAAAATTGAAAATGGGAATAATTTTGTTAGATTCCATGCTGTTCCATGGAATGGCCAACTTTAAAAACAATAATAAAAAATATTAGATTTGGGCAATGGTTTACAGGCATGATAAATCAATTATATTCCAAGAATACTGCAGTGGTGTCAGTGAATGATGGTAAAACAGAACAGGTATCCCTAGGTCAAGGTACTAGACAGGGATGTCCCCCTTTCCCTGATGTTGTTTGCCTTAGTTAGGGAATGTTATTAAAGGAGATAAATTAATTTGTAGCATAGGTTTTAAGGACAAATTTAATATTTGCTGATGATACTTTATTAACAATTCAGAACCCATTTATGTTTATGGATTGGTTTAAATTACGTTTGAAAGAATTTGAAGAGATAACAGGATTACAGATAAATTGGCATAAATCAGAAATGATTTTGTTTAATTATGATAAAGTGGAAAGGGAGATAATTAAGGAAATTTTGATATTAATATATAAAAGTATTAAGTATTGGGGTATAACTATTCCAATGAATTTACAATTTTTCAAAATGGACATTTTTGACAAATTAAAGCAATAAGAATAAATTAGATGAATTTAGGAACATTGGACTTCCATGGTTTGGTAGAATTGCAGTGTGTAAAATGATCTAAGATTATTTTTTTAGGCATGACATGACCAATAATGATAACAAAAGAAGGGTTGAAAGACTGGCAAAATATGATTAATAACTTTTTTACTGCAGATTTTAAAAGCTAGGATTAATAAAAAGAGATGGTATAAACCTCAAAATTGGGTGGTTTTGGTCTTCTAATTTAAGGTTATATTATACAGCTAATCAAATGAGATACTGTATATGTTGGAAATTACATCTTAGCCTAGCACTTTAATATGGCAACATGAATTTGACCTAACTCCGGGAGGCAGGGGAAGACAGGAGGGCCTGGTGTGCTCTGGTCCATGGGGTCACGAAGAGTCAGACATGACTAAACAACTGAAAAACAACAACAAGACAGACTTGAACACTGGGCCGTATCCAATAAGATGCAGTTCAGTTGTGGGAAAAGTAAGGTCCTCCACTTAGGCAGGAGAAACTGGATGCACAGGTACAGGATAGAGGATACCTGGCTCGACAGTAGTACCTGTGAGATGGATTTAGGTGTCCTAGTGGACCACCACCTAAGGATGAGTCAGCAGTGTGCGGCAGCTGCCAAGGAAGCCAACACAGTCCTAGGCTGCATCAGCAGGGGGACAGCATCAAGATCACGGGAAGGGATAGTACCTCTTTATACCACACTGGTGAGGTCCCACTTGGAGTGCTGTGTCCACTTCTGGTCACCACAATACAAAAAGGACACAGAGGCCCTGGAAGGGGTGCTGAGAAGAGCAACAAAGATGATAAGGGTACTGGAGGCTAAATCCTATGAAGAACGAATAAAAGAACTAGGTATGTTTATCTTAACAAAGAGAAGACTTTGAGGAGACATGATAACAGCCTTCCAATATCTGAAGGGTTGCCACAGGGAAGAGGGCATCAATTTATTCTCCATTGTGCCCAAGGGTAGGACAAGAACCAATGGGTGGAAACTCATCAGAGGGAGATCCAACCTGGAAATAAGGAGGAATTTCTTGATGGTGAGAACCATTAAACAGTGGAACAGTTTGCCTCCTGATGTTGTGGGTGCCCCCATCACTGGAGGTTTTCAAGAAAAGACTGGACAGCCATCTGTCTGGGATGGGATGAGGTCACCTGCCTTGGGCAGGGGGTTGGACTGGAAGACCTCCAAGGTCCCTTCCAACCCTACAACAATTCTATGATTCTATGATTATTCAGGCTACACATTGCCCACCACCATCACCAGCAAGCTGGGTGCTCAGTTCACCGACCCCAGAAGGATAGAAGGCTGGCTTGAGCTGGCTACCTGGGATTGAACCTGGATCATGAGCAGAGTTTTGTCTGCAGTACTATAGTTTAATCACTGTGCTACAAGCCTTCTATAAAGAGTAAAAAATAACAGTATTAGAATAGGAACGAATATCTTGGTTTAATCTTATCCAATTAAAGCAATGGATTTGAGATTAGATAAGAAGAAATGGTAAATGAAAATAAAATTTATTTATTTATTTATTTATTTGATTTTTACCCCGCCCCTCTAGACCATGAAAGGGATAACAAGTAAAATTTATATTAATAGAACCAGAGGACCAACAAGATGTTCATGAAGCATTATGGAAATATGATTTGAGAGATGAAATAAGTACTGGGGTCTGGAAGAAAATACGGGAGCTTTAGTGAGAAGCTGAGAACATATCAAATTTTTGGAGATAGGTCTTCAAAGAAATGAATGAAATAATTAAAAAGGAAAAGAAAGTGTGTTGCTTATACACTGCCCCATAATGCTTAAAGCACAGTTGCATCCCCCCCCAATTGAGCTGGGTACTTAAATACTGTATAGAGATTTGCCCTAAGGTCTCTTATCAATATTTGATAAGGAGCAATGGAGCTGGCAATGGGAAAAAAAGAGTTAATATTTATTAACAACAGCAAGATTAATGGCAGCAAGAACTGGAAAGCTAAGCATTATTTTCAATTAAATGAATAGTACAATATAAAGAAGTTTGGAATAATATTATTGATAAACTAATGAGTAATATGAAAATTTAAAAGAGAATGTTCTATATGAATATGTTTAGGTATTGATATGTGGGAAGAATATATGGCCCCTGTAGGGGGAGTGCTTTTTGTATCATTGTGTTATTTTTGTGGTTTTTGTTGTTATTAAGGGTTTTTTTTTTCTTTAGTTGTTTTATATCTTGGTTTTTATAAAATGAAAAAGTAGTTTTGAAAAGTGGCAAATACTGGAGGAAAAGAGCGCCAGCTCTTTTTTGTTGTTATTAAGGGTTTTTTTTTCTTTAGTTGTGCCTTGTTTTATATCTTGGTTTTTATAAAATAAAAAAGTAGTTTTGAAAAGTAGCAAATACTGGAGGAAAAGAGCGCCAGCTCTTCCACAACTGCAGCACCCCCCCACCCCAGCCGTCCCCCTCTGTTGCGCAAGACATGGTGTGTTGCTACACAGCTGTCCTGCACCTTTTAAACAAGCCCGCTTCTCTCAAGCAATAAGAGCAACTGTCCTGTTGCCACAACCAAAACCAAACCTTAACCAACAATCCATTTTGCTTCTGTACATGGAATCAGAGCAGGGCAACACCTTGCTACAGTATTTGATTCACACAAGAAAATGTCTTAAGTCAACCTTGCTGGTTGGTTTGATTGCAGTTAACACAGAGAGAATAAGGGGTTAAATAAAATACTAAGAGAAATGAGCATTTCCTGCTATTATAACGTCTTCCTTCCAGCCACACCATTGCTCAAAGCTCCTTGCCTGGGCAATCAGCCTCTCCAAGGAAGGTCCTGTTTATCTAACAATGATCCATCACAAAACAAATCTGAGTTCATTTGCAACATACAGATTGGAATAAGCTCATGCTAAAAGGAACATACATTTTTGAAGAGTACTACTTCTAATGTCACGCTAACTGTATTGTCTACTTGGACCATCAGCCGATAGCAGGGTACCAGCTTCCCTCTTCTTGTGCTTGCAGATTTTCTTCAAAAATCTTCACAACAGCAAAGCTTCGACCAGTATCAGAGACAAGCCATGGGACCTTTTGTTTCAAGGTGATTAGCATGTGTGATTGGCCAGGTGACCAGAGAACAGACACACACCCCCAGAAAGAACTGTTTTTAGACTGGAGGGCTATTTACATTAGCCAAGGGCCCATCCCCAGGGTGGGAATGAACCAGCAGAGGAATCAGGTTTGGGGGTTCAGGCTAAAGTTACACGTATCCGTGTGTCCTCACCACTGCTGTCTTGGGCTCTCTGCTGCCGCCACTGCCAGGGCTAAGTGGGCATGTACCCAGATCCCACAGCCTGTAGGAGCCCACATGAAGAGAGGGATTCTCCCCCCCCGCCGCCAAAAAAAATGATGGTGCTCCACACCCTGTGCTGCCTGCCGGGACTTTGAAATCTTATGTGCATGGAGCTCATGTGAGGACAGAACCATGATGCGTGACCTCGCACCATCTGAGCACCGGCAGTGCGCGCAGCCTTTTCTCCCGCGGCCCACATTGAGGAACCCAGCCGGATGGAGCTGACGGTGACAGGCACAGCATTGAGAGGCTGCTTTGGGGGGCAAAGAGGGCAGAGAGAGGCTGATAGGGGGCTACAGTGGCACAGGCAGGCTGTTTGGAGGCACAGAAGGCAACTGGCAGGATGGACAAGGTGCGTGCATTTATTTACTGCTCATTTGCACGATAGACTGAGTCTATGCATTAAAATGGTGTGCTTGTAAAATGCTCCTTCTATCGGATGAGAATAACTTACCTGCCAATATTGATTAATTCTTGGAGCAGAACTGTGGTATGAGAAAGGATCCAGATGAAAATGACGCACAGCATCAAGTGACATCACTTTTTAAAAAAATGAGAAATTGGAAAATATCTTCACGTGCATCAGGGTTACGTTCCTCAGTGGAAGAACAATGCCTCAGCAGATTACCAGCCATGTCAACTGAGAGTGACATGTCGAAGCAAATTAATTTTGAAGACATCATTAGTGCATTTGCAAAACAGAAAGCAAGAAAAAGAAATGTAAAAGTTGTTTTCCATTTGAAACCTCATAAAACCGCCTTTGACCTATTGGTGGAAAGAGCAGTCCTACCAAAAGCCACCCTCCCTGCACTTCTCTGCCTGGATTATCCAGATTGCTTGGACTTGCCTCGTATACGATCTTATCCCTGTCGGATGCCCGATGGCATTTTGAGCAGCGAACTGACATCCCCAAAGTGTTCCTTTTGGCACCCTAATCGGAGGCCGCACTTTAGCCCTTGGGCACCAAGACTCTTTTGGTGATTGCAGGTTTTTCCTTGGACACCCTTTTTGTCTTCTAGCACTGAAGGCTTGCTTATGGGGATAAGCAAGGCTTTCTTTTCATTGTTATGTTGTTTGTTTGTTTACCTAAGCGTTGTTCACTTATTTACTGCTACCAAGATTACCTTAGTGAGTCAGTCTTATTTGTGTTATATTACACTGTTGATGTTGTGTGACCTGTTTAGCTGAGAGGTAAGGGTGAGGGAGGAAGGAGGGGGGGGCACCATTATACTTTTTGCCCAGGATCCACCACAGCCTTGCACCGATCCTGGCCACTACTATGTTGCCTGTTGCCTCGGACTCCCCAGTGCTGTGATGCCGCTGCTACCATCATGGATCGGGAAGATATGGGCATGGGTGATTGAGGGGTGGGTAGGGGGCAAGAGGGGGAGTGAGCAAGGTGGGGGTCTAGCAAGGGGGCCGAGCGAGTGAGAGAAAGAGCAATCGGGCGAGGAGGGGAGAACGGAGGGGAAAGAGGGTAAGAGGGAATGGGAGGGGGGACATGGGGTGAGAATGAGAGCAAGTGGGGGAGGCGATCAATCAGGCAGGCACCAGGAAGAATGTTGCTTTTATTTTGTCATCCGTGCTGTATCAGGTAATAGGACTTTAAAAAAAAAAGCGGTTGGGACATAGCCACATGTGGAATCGATTCCAATGAATCAGTTCTACATGCGCCTCAAAATAAAGCTCATCTGGAACAAGAGGAGCAGAAAAAGTTATGTCCACACGGGCACGTGCCTCATGTTTACACTTCAATTTGTGTTGTGGATTTGTTTTTTTGTTCTGTTTTTCAGCAGGACCCAGATTTTATTGTCAGTGGGATCAAACCTCAAGACTCTGGAATTTCATTGGTCGTCTGGGCAGGACACCTTTACTTAATGAAGATCATTATTAAGGTGTCTCTCTCTCTGTCTGCTAAAATTATATACCACCCAAGTGGTAAATGTTCTTGGAGTGGTTTACGATCATAAAAACAAAACAAAATACAAAATAACAGTCAAACCATATGAAACAGCCAATTCCAATATTAAAATGTTACAGTATCAGCATTGAGCAATTCAAGGTTTGTACAAAATGGATACTCTTGGAACAACCCCCTGTTTCTGTCTTGTAAATTATGGCAGCACAAGATTATAAAATATTAAAGCAACCATCCATTTCATGCTCCAGTAACACTCTACTTCTCCACATCATTCAGGGCTAAAAATCAATATTAAAACACACTCTTAAGGATGTTTATTCATTTATGAGTTCATTCATCACCTTTATGCATGTTCACTTATAAGTGGAATAAAAACTGTTCAAGGAATCAGGCACCTGTCTACTGCAGTCAATGTGCTTTCTTTTATGAAAACACAGGCCAGCATAAATCAATATGACCATGTCTTTGGCCAGAACACAAGGCCAAACTGTCACAAATAGCAGCTGACATCAAGAAAATAAACATCCAAATGTATGCCTGCCAATATTTATGAATCAAAGTGGGACAATACCGCTGGACAACAGATGCTCCATCTCCCCAGAAGCACAGATGTGGTCCATACCAGTGCCAAATGAAAACTGGCACTGAGACAAGGAAACTGCTGTTTCTTGTTTTTAGAGTGCAGAAATGCAGGCCTTTTGCTAAAGAGATTGTTTTCAGTTGTGTAGGTCGCCTGGCTACAGAAGATATATATTCTGAACATGTACAGACTTTTTATCACCCTCATCATTAATGATGTAGGTTTCTGGAACAATGTAATGAATCAAAACAAGTTTGTGATATTTCCCCACTGCCCTAAACCTGATTTACAGTGGTCCCTCGCACAGCGAGGTTAATCCGTCCCGGATTAACCCTCGCTGTGTGAAACATCGCTGAGCAGGGCAGAAAAGCCCATTGGAACGCATTAAACAGTGTACTCACCGTTCAGCGATGTTTCTCCGATGGCCGGCAGCCATTTTCGCGCCCTCCCCTCGCTGAACGAGGGCGCGAAAATGGCTGCGATCAGCTGTCCGGCGGGTCC